AAGCCTCACCAATAACACCAAATCATTTATGGATAATAAATCTGATTTTGTTTATGGTAATACAGATTAATTTATTTCTCTGTGTTTAAAAAAACCCAAAACAAAACATGGCAAGAGGACCTTGAAAAAACAATGGCCCATTTAATCGCAAAGTCAATGTTAAAGAAAAAGAAAATCATGATTGGATTGTTTTTCAAAATCTTTCAGCCCTATCACTCACTCACTCAGTTGCTGGGGCACACACACACACACACACACACACACACACACACACACACACACACACACACACACACACACACATACACAGGCATACTGTACATCCAATCAATCCTATCAAACTGCATGTGTATCACCAGTGTCTTGAAACGGCGTCCTGGTTGAACGCAAAATGCAACATTTTAACGCAACCACGCACCTTTGCAGGTGTGGGGGTTTTGGGGGGGCAGCTGTATGCGGCCGGCGGCCACGATGGACCCTTAGTGAGGAAGAGCGTGGAGGTTTATGACCCGTCCAGCAACACGTGGAGACCCGTGTGTGACATGAACATGTGCCGTCGCAATGCCGGTTAGATCACACCGTCGTCACACAACAACAACGATAAACATTAGCATGGAGCATTGCAGCACTGTGTGTGTGTGTTTGTGTGTGTGTGTGTTTCAGGCGTGTGCACAATCAATGGTCTGCTCTATGTGATTGGAGGCGACGACGGCTCGTGCAACCTTTCCTCCGTGGAGTTCTATGACCCAGCCCTAGACAAGTGGAGCCTCATTCCCACCAACATGAGCAACGGTCGCAGCTACGCCGGTGAGACACACTTTTCATTCTTCACACTTCCTCTTTCAGACTGTAGCTGTTCATTGAAAAACTTATCAGCAATTCACGTCGTTCTCAACTTACAAACGTTCCACTGGCGAACATTCGTAGAATTGAACAAATATTGACAAATGTCCATAAATGTCGTAAAATGGCAATATTGCGTTCACAAGTTCATATTTTCAACTGCACGCCACATCATACATGACGGTACTGTAGTTCCCCTTTCTGCCACAACCCAGTCGAGCAGCAAAGCTCCATACACGCACCTCATCTCTCCCTCCCTCTCTCGGCGTGTGTGTGTGTGTGTGTGTGTGTGTGTGTGTGTGTGTGTGTGTGTGTGTGTGTGTGTGTGTGTGTGTGTGTGTGTGTGATATAACAAAGGCTAATGTAGTAGCATGTCATTAAATTTTTTTTTTTTAATGAAATGTATGTGCATACAGTACACAATGCATACACTGTGTATAGTTTAATTTACATAAAAAAATTGAAAAAGAATTTAAATATGTCTTGACTTACAAACAGCTTCTCGGAGCCCCTTATGTTCATAAGTTGACGATCTGTACACCTTTGTTACACCAACTATCATTAGTTTAGATGAGACTAAAGCACAGATTACATCAACCAAATCTGTGGCTTTATCACTTCCTTCATATCACATGAAACATGTAAATGTGGACGACACCAATCACTCAGATACTCACATAGACCGATAAAAAAATAAAACACACACAAATAATGAGGCATAGATTTGAATTGAGAATTGATTCCACCTCATCGTGTGTGAATTGCCGTTGCAGTGTTTATTTATTCAACCTGGCAACGCATCTGGCAATTGTTTTATCCCACAAATACTGTCAGGGGTTTATTTCAGGTCTGGTGTGCACCCGCCCCAACTCCAACTCTACTTATTGTGCCTTATCCAGGAGTCGCAGTCATTGACAAACCTTTCTGAGAGTGGCAAAATGGCGGACGTTTGACGCCGATGAGAAGCGCCGGTGAGAAGCGCCGGTCCAGCCGTTGCTGCTTAAAAGGAACCAGTTGGATTTCATCCTGGAAGTGTGTTGGACCCGGATTGAGTTGCTGTTTACATTGTGGAGGATGCTCCAGATACAAACGGAAGCAACAAACAGATGCACTTTGGTGTCAAGTACACTTTTACTCTCAGGCTCTCAGGATGGACGACACAAACGGTGCCATTGGACCACCACCACCAGCAACAACACTTACACTCCTAGTTATGTGGACAACAAGCATAAAAACATGTGAAAATGTATTTTGAATATTCAAAAGATGTTTTTAAAAAAAGTTTGTAAGCATTTCAGGTGAAAGAGAAGCACTGCTGACATCATGCACTACTGATGAACAAAATGGTGGTCCCGAGCGTTTTCAAATGTGCCACCAAAAAAAAAAAAAAATGTACTTTTGTTTTTAGGCAACTGGCAACATAAATGAAGTACGTAAGTGTCAAAATGCACTGTAGATTTAGAAAGGCTATGCTTATTTATTACATGGCAAGCATTTATATTCTATTTACAGTTTCAAGTGGGGTCTGTGTACCATGTCTCTCATATTGTGCTTCAGATGATTTTCAATGACATGACACAAATCTGCACAGATTAAAAATATTTAAAGGTCACTTTTGTTTCATATTTGTAATTATTTTTTGGTTGTAATTCATAGCATTGAGCAGACAAAGATGTCATCAAAGAATAAAAATTAAGCCACTGAACAAAGGGACTAACGGTCGCAGGAATGCGACTTCTACCAGGTTCATGAGGCGCTCTTTGGAAGCGGGGGTGATTACTTTTTAAAACTACTGTATTACAAATTAGAATTTCATCCATCCATCCATCTTCTGAACCGCTTTATCCTCACAAGGGGGTGCTGGAGCCTATCCAAGCCGTCTTCGGGCAGTCAGTAAGTAACCCTGAACTGGTTGCCAGCCAATCGCAGGGCACAGAGAGACAAACAACCATCCGCGCTCACGCTCACACCCAGGGACAATTTCGAGTGTCCAATCAGCCTGCCATGCATAATTTTGGAATGTGGGAGGAAACCGGTGTACCTGGATAAAACCCAAACAGGAAGGTCGGATCTGTGATCGAACCCACGACCTCTGCCTTGTGAGGTCGATGCGCGAACCACTTGACCTCCGAGCCACCCTGAGAATTTCGTACCCATTAAATAACTGGTCGCTTGTAATTAATTGCATTTTTGTCTGACTCACAGTGCAGAGGTCACAGGGGTTCAATTCCGGGCTCCAGCCTTCTTGTGTGGAGTTTACATGTTCTCCTGTTGCCTGCTTGGGTTTTCTCCGGTTACGCCGGTTTCCTCCCACACTCCAAAAACATGCATGGCAGGTTAGTGGAACACTCTAAATAAGGGTTAGGGAACTCCAGTTCCTCGTGAGCCATATCCTGCCTGTTTTAGATCCCTCCCTACTCCACCACACCTTATTCAATTGTTCCTAATTACTTCAGGCCTCAACAGAACTTGCTGACAAGCTGATCATTTGAATCAGGTGTTGTAGTCGAGAGAGATCTAAAATAGGCAGGATATAGCTCTTGTGGAACCGGAGTTCCCTACCCCTACTCTAAATTATCCCTTAGTGTGATTGAGTGTGAATGAGTTTGTCGACGTGTGCCCTGAAACTGGTTGGCAACCAGTTCTGGGTGTACCCCACCTACTGGCCAAAGACGGCAGCTCAGATAATAGATGGAGGGATGTTAACAACCAGTCACGTAGTTGGTGCTTCGAGTTTTCCCAAGGATTTTTAGATTAAAAACAAGTTACCTCATCAGCAGGAGCTAACTGAATAGTCTCATTAGCAAAATGTTTTTTTTTTTAATTTTTTTTTTATTTTTATAAAGGTTGGGTTTATAATCATATAAAATTAAGTATTTATGTTTTGGTTATGTCAGTGTATTTCATACTTTTTTGAGCCAAGGCACACTTCTTTCATTGGAAAAAATCTCGTGGCACACCAGTAGCTGAAAATGTGACCCCCGGTTTATTTTAACGTGTTATATTGCTACTATAACCGTTTTTAACATTGAAGAATGACGTTATAACAGCTTGAATTGGAATCAAATGAACACAAAGAAAACAGTATTTTCTCATCTTTCATATATATTGTTTCACCGTCGTCCTGCATTCATGCGTCACAAATTCGCTTGTCTCTCGTTGAAACGCAAGGCAATTGGCTAGCTGTTGCTGCTCCCTAGCGGTATGGGAGGGTACTACATGATTACTTTCTGGCCGAAAGACCGCACAGGCATACTAATTGGATATGTTCCCGCGGCACAGCTGATAATGTCTCGCGGCACACGGGGTGAAAAACACTGGGTTATGTTAACTTATGTCTGTGGTGGAAAAAAGCAAATGGTAACTCTGAGAACTGGTTTGTACCGATAAAGACAACCATTAGCTGGTGATAGTGCAAATGTTATTTCCTTGGCTGGAAACCAATGTATGTGTGCGCATATACAGAAAAAAAGTAAACGTTCAATGGAGATCATCCATACACTTTTATTATTGCTGCTTCTTTATGGCACAAATAATAGAAACAATAAAACATGATGCCATCTGTCACTATGTAGCAACATGCAAGTTTTTTTTTTCCTTTTAAATCTTTGAAACGTCACAGGACGGGCAGGATCACACACTAAAATTCTATAGCCGATTTGTACAATGGGTAGATAAATACAAATCATTGTCATCACACACTAACCAGTCATAGATATGAGATATCAGCAATTATTCATTAAAAAAAAAAAAAAACCCACCCCCCCCAAAAAAACAACCTCGGTCATCACAAATATGGAAAAAAAAAGATGGGGAGGGGGGGTGACCATGAAATAATTTAAACAATTGACATTCATCCTTTGCGTGGTTGTATGTACACAATATATTTCTGTAGAAGTACTGCTTTATCTTTACAACACACACACACACACACACACACAAAAAGGGGCTGCATTCTGATGAATGCTGTGCAAATATTGAACACCTCGACATCACAAACACATCTTTGCCTCCAAAATGCTGCCTTTTACAAGCTTTCCACAATCTCCTCAAGACCTGCCTGCAGGAAACCACCACCACCGAACATGAGATGGAGGAGCTTATCACATTTAAAAGAGGAAAAAAAAAAAAAAGAGTTTGAGCTTTTTTTTTTTTTTTTTTTAAATTCAGACACCAAAAAACAAAACATGAAACGATATTAAACTTTTGGTGTTAAAAGGGCGACTAAAAAAAAAACCCAAGGCGTCAAGAGCGACAACTCTTTGAGACCCCAGTGATGAATGAGCTCTGCTTGGATTGAATGGATGCTACGCGGGAGAGCAGTGATTGGTCGAGGTTGCTGTCGATCAAATTTTGCTCAGTTTTTTTTTCTGTGTGAAGTGTGTGTGTGTGTGTGTGTGTGTGTGTGTGTGCGCGCGAGCGCCTATATGGATTTGGAAGAGTCCTGTTTGCTGATGAGCACCTCCAGAAGGCGCAGTTTGGCCTTAAGTCTCTTGTAGGCTCGGTATTCGTCCAGCATGGGCTCGCGGTCCTCCTTTTGCACGTTTCTAACAAAGGTTGAAGGAATCACAAATTAAAGCAAATACTTTTTGATTCTTTTTACATTTTAATGCTGGTTAACTTCATTTGACAATACATATTACAATATACATATACGATACAATCGTCAAAGTGGTTTCCACTTTGAGGATGGAACAGCGTATCGATATCAGTGTTATTGTTTCGATTGGCATTGTTTCTTACGAGAACAAGTCCTGAACCTTCCCAAAAAAACCCAACTGGGAATGTTCGATACCACTTTGTTTTTTGGACAGATACCAGCATGAGGTGTCATATCTGTTTCTAGCTAATGATAACAGTAAAGACACTGTTCCCAGAATGCATTGAGTGGTACAGTACATGTAATTAATGAAGCTCAAAGGACGTTAATCCTTGTCATACATGTGCTTGTGTCACTCATTGTCATACTTGGGTCACATTTGATTATATGTTGGACTGTTTGGGGTTAGGGCGATTCCAGGGTTCCCACTCTTTCACTTGCTTTTTATTTATGGACCTTTTAAGGACTTTTGAGAGGTAATTTAGCCATTTTTAAGGACCTTTTCTCCATTCAACAGGGGATTCGCGTTGGATTTAATGAACAGAAAGCCACATATCACTGAGTTGGTGTTCAAATCATTGCTGCCAAAGGAAGGGCACAGCTTTATTTTTAGGGGCACTCAGCTAACCCTTTATTTGACATACTGTATGTCAAATTGGACCGAAATGACCCAAAGTGATCACGTGATCCTCATCGGAACTGATCAGAGATGGCGGGAAAAGCAGAGCGGGAACCAGGAAGGCATGTAGCCCGACAGCAGGGTTTAAGGGGAAGGGCGCCCGGTGCATTTTCCGACAAAACTATTAATTGGAAGAGTGGGGAAAATGACATACACAAATGAAATGAACACCACAGGTGATTTTTTTTAAAGGATTTTTATTGATTTTAGAAGGTTTCCCTGAAAATTAAGGACAATTAAGAACATGATTTTACTTCTTTTTTATGAACTTTAAGGACCCGTGGGAACCCTGTTTTTTTTTTTTTCGTTTTCAAACCATGACGTTAGGTTGTATGTAAAAATCTTACAAAGAATGAAGACGGATCTTGTAAGCACCGACGGAAATCCCATCTGAATGGGCATCTGTCAGACAGGCACTGTATGCCTTTGATTCCTGATCATGAAAAGGCCACACCACCGTTGTGAGAACCGATGCCTTGAGATGAGGTCGGGTAGCGGCCCGATTGCTAATATGGGTATTCACCCATCCCGACCAGAAATGCCTCGCGAACTTACTTTGAAATCCGAACCCTCATTTGAAACCAGAATCCTGAATTGAAACTGTCGCCATGTCTTGGAACTCAAACCCTAAGTTGGAGACCCTAAAACTGGCTTGAAACCATGATTTGAAACCTCCCACTGGGTTATAATTAGAGTTGCAACAACGAATCGCGAAAATCTCATCTTCAATTAACACTAGAAAATTGGCCGAACCCTCACCGTGGTTTGAATCCCTAACGCAGTGCGCACGTACCTGCCGTTCCGTTGATAGAATTCTTCCTCAAATTCTCTGATGGTCTTCCTCAGTTTCTTCTTCTCTGCTCTGGCTTTCCACAGCTGTTCCAGCAGCTCTGGCCTAACATGCACAAAACAAAGGGTGTGACGTCACAGTCATGTGGACCGTGTGCCCTATTAGTGTGCATGTGCGTCTGTGCACGCGTGTTCTCACATGGACGAGGCATTAGAGCTGGACAGTCTCAGGTCGAGCGCCATCTTCCCGGAGCCTTCCTCCATCTTGGCCCTCATGGAACCCCCCGCGGTGGTGCTCATCTCCATGGCCATGATGACCTCTGAACTCTGCATCTCTCCTCCGCTGCTCTCTCCTTCCTCTTCCTCCTCCTCCTCTTCTTCTTCTTCGTCCTCCTCGTTGTAGTCCTCCTCCTCTTTCTTCTTGTCCTCCTCATTGCCGTCGTCTTTTTCTCCTGCCGCTTGCTCCTCCCCTTCCTCCTCCTCTTTGATCTCCTCCCAGAAGTGAGCCGTCTCTCCCTCTATGATTGGTTGGAGGATTTGGCTCCGCCTCTTACTGGAAGGAGACACCTGGGCGGGACAACATGTCAACCTGAGATTGTTGCTAATGCTAATGATGCTAACACGAAATGATGATGTCTCTCAAATGCTAAGATGGTACTATAGCTTATGCTAATAACACAAATGCCACAGATGCGAAGAATTATGACCATAGCTTGAAACCCCGATGCCGGCTTGACACTCTAATTCACGGGTGTCAAAGTGAAGGTCCGGGGGCCAGATCTGGCCCACCACATCATTATATGTGGCCCGCGAAAGCAAATCAAGCACGTCAAGTTCCAAGATGTTCGCAAATGTCTGAACCAAAATTTCAAATTGTCATATGGACTCCACAATAACAGTCATTATTCTTGACTTCTGATTTTAAAACTAGTTATTCATCAAATTGTTGTGAGGAGATGAAACATTTCAATGGTTTCCCAAAATTCATAACGGCTCTCCAAAGGAAACCGTAACTACAATGTGGCCCGCGACAAAAATGAGTTTGACACCCCTGCTCTAATTTGAAGCACTAACCTGTCTGAAAACCTTCATTCGAACCATAACACAGGCTTGAAACGCAAATTTGAAATCTAACCTAGAATTGGAAACGTAAATTTGAAATACCAACCAGGGCCTAAAATGCTACCGTGAAACACAACACAGGCTTGAAACTTCACAGTGCCGTCTTAACCCTTTCATGCACCCTCGAACCTGACAACATGATAAGCTGTCCACTGTAGTAACCGCTGTCCCTGAAAGGGTTAAAACCAAACTTTGAACAAAAAGATTGGCTTGAAACCCGAACCCTCGTTTGAAAGCCATTATTCGTAAACCTAAAACCTTTTTTTGAAATCCCAACTCTGTCTAGAGAGCCTACTCTGAAATATGAACACTGGCTCAGAACCCAAATATTCTGATGCCAAAACTTTGTGATGCTAATTGCGTTGACTATGCCTAATGAGGCCAAAGCTAATCATCCAAACATCTCCGCTACTGACGCAAATGATGCGCGTGTACTCACAGTGACGGGCGTGATGGTGACTCTGGTGAGCATCTGCTTGATGAGACGGTAACGTTCGTAGAGAGGCTTCACCACCAGGCGCTCCTCGCGAGTCACCTGGCACCGCGCGTTGAAGAGGACCCATTTTTAGTGTACGGCCCCGGAGGACACGAGCTACAAGTGTGTATGCGAACTGACCGGTCGCCCGTGCAGGCCCTCGTAGTGCAGCAGGTTCTTCTGGAGGACGGTCTTTTCGCAGGACAGTTGTTCTTTTGTCATCTTCTGCGGCGAGCACCGAAGAATGGCGTCAACATCATCCGATGCCACGCTAACCTTACTAAGGCTAACGGGCGGCTCACCTTGATGTCATCGGGCCAGCCGTCCTCCTGCCGCTTGCCGCTCACGCGTCTCTGGATGAGCTCCATGGTCTCCTCGCGGGTGGGGTGCGGCGCCGAGGCCTGCTGCGTCGGCGTCTGCTCCAGAGAGGAGCCGAAGCTCTTGGGCAGCGTGTTGCTGCGGGGGCGAGTGTGAGGGCCCAGCTCGCTCTCGGCGCGCTGTTTGGCGTCTGTGCCGCAAACCGACAAGAAGGACAACAACGCCACGTGGGAGAAGTTTAGAGAGCAACCGACGACTGAGCTTGATTTGACGGCAACAACACACCAACACCATTGTCAATGTCAACATGTCAGACACGCATGCAGCATGCAACATTGACACACACACACACACACACACGCACGCACACACACACACGCACAACTCGATAACATATTGAACACGTTGACCTAGTAGTGTAGTGAGGGCAAACATCCAGTGACATTTGTGGGAAATCCAAGCTACTGAGCAACGAAGGCATCCTGCCAACATAATGTGAGGCCTAACCAGTGTATTGAGTCAGATAACACACGCACGCACGCACACACACGCACGCACGACTCGATAACATTGAAAGATGGTGGACCCAAGCAATTGATATTGTGATGGCTTGAAGCCCTACTTTAAAACCCTTCCCAAGACTTTAATCCGTACCTTGACTGAAAATGAGAGTCCAACCCTAAGGCAGGCTTGAAACCCTACTTTCCAACCCCAACCCATGCAACAAACTGTCACTTCTCACTGACACTGGCCGAAAAGCTGAATTAGAAGCCCAAAATTCTGGTTTGAAATCCTAAATGGAAACCCTGACCCTTGTTTGACACCAACTTAAAACCTGAAGCTCAACCTAACCCTTTCACACACCCTGTGTAACCTGATCACATGATAAATTGTCCACTCTAGTAATTGCTGTCCCAGAAAGGGTTAAAAGGCACAGTGTGTAGACTTTAGTGCCACCTAGTGGCGACATAATATAATGCAACGACCGAAGCTCACGACGCCCGCTTTTTTTAAGCATGCGCATGATAGAGCCTCGGAGAGAGAATACTTTGCAAGCTTTGTACCCATTCCAGCAGAAGTGCAAGCAAAATGGCATCCAAAACGACTTCACGTATTCCGTCGCGTGACAGAGTAAGTGCATGGCAGTTGTTCCTCATGCGGTCGTCAACATGTTGAGGATCTATGTTCGCGCTTAAGTTTGTCTCTTTCGTGAAACTAGAAGACAGATTGCGGAGAAATATGGCGGCCTCTGTAATATAATTAGTGATGACTTCACCAACAATTACATAAAAAAAAAAAAA